CTGCAGGGCTCAATCTTTGGACCTCTTCTCTTTTCAAGATGTACACATTCTCTAGGTAATCTCAGCCCTCAGATTTCAAGGACAACTTCTACACAGATCTCCCCATCAGGGAGACCTCCCTTGACCACCCTCTGGGGAGTAGCAGACACTGTCACTCTTTAACCTCTTGTTCTGTTTCATTTTTCTTCATTGCACTTACCATACCTCTCTATCATACCGCTATTGTTTGTTCATCGGCTTCTGTCTCTTCTGCCAAACTGCATCTCCAGGAAGGTAGAAGCTATCTGGTTCACTAATGTCTCCTTAGTATCTAAAAAAGTGCCTGGCACAGAGTATGGGCTCAGTAGATATTTGTTGCATAATAAATAAGAATGTACCAATGGGGACTAAAAAGACCAATAGGTGAAATCCTTTTCATACCAGGTAAGTATATGAAAAGTCGTCCTCTTTTTATTTGCAGTGACTGCCTATGTCAGGGGTTGTCAGGCCTGCAACAGGTCAAATCCAGCTGTGCTCACTTGTTTACGTATTGTCTATGGCTGTGTTCACTTTGCAACAGTGGAGTAATAGCGACAGAGATGCTGTATGGCCTGCAAAGCTGAAAATATTTACTATGTAGGCCTTTCTAGAAAATGTTTGCTGACTCGTGGTTTATGTACATTAAGGAGGTAGTGTAATGTGGTGGATAAGAGTGTAGCTCCAGCGCCAGATGTCCCAGGTTCAAATCCCACTTCGTCCCCCGACCAGCTGTGGCCTTGGTTAAGTCATGTGTCCTACCTGTGCCTCAGTTTCTCAACTGTGGAAATAGAGAGGACATTGGTACTAACCACAAAGGGTAGTTGCGAAAATAAAATGAGTTAATACATGTGAAGTATTTAAAATCTTCCAGAAACACCTTCATTAATTATTGTGTAGTTAGAGAATAATTGAAACCAGTTTGAAAGACAAACACACCTAAGGGTAGGGATGTGTGTTTCATTTATCCCGAAGAATCCAGTGCAAATGACTAAGTCCATTTCCCCGCTTCACTGGTTTGTTCTCTTGAATCTTGGGTAAGCTGTATGAGCAGATACATTTTCCTTCTGTTGCAGATGGAAAAATTTACACGCAGACAGTATTTTTGCTAAACTAATCTTTGTGGGATACATACACAAAGCAAATAAATTGGTGTGTGTCATCTACTCTCGGTTTTGATGGAATGGAGGGAAAAACTCAGTTGAAATCAGCCACACAGGCATTTTTGTGTGGGTGTTTTTATGACGATTTGTCTGATGCCTCTCTTTTCATTTGATTTTACATTATCAGGTGGATCGTGTCAAAGACATCTTAGGATGACTACCCAAGCATCCTTGCAAATTTCTTTCCATGGTCTTCGTACTTGGAATCTCTACGAAATTTGACCGACTCTTCAGTGTTCTGGTCAAGTTCTTCCTATTCTGGGATGGCTTCCTGGCTCTCCTAACTTCCCAAGTTCAGTGAGCTCTCCATTCTTTGAACGCTTGTAACTCATTCTCTTGGTCCCTAGCAGAAGACACTTGCTAACTTCTTCCTCTTTTTTAATCATGTAAAAACATCCTATTTTAACAGACTAGAGTTTTATTTGATTGAGGCGAGGGATAGACCCTTATCTTCTTGGTGTGCTCAGCTCATGGAAGAGCGCCCTATGCACAGGATCTGCTTAGCAATGGGCTATTACAGATGGTAATTCTTAATGTGGCTTCTAAGGACCTGCAGGATGCAGCTGCTGGCAATATCTCCAGTGCCTCTTGCATCTCCTTCTCACTTTCTGAGCTCTGGCTACCACGATCTTCTTTCAAAATTCCCTTCCACCTGCCATGCTCTGTTCCACCTCATGCTATTCCTTATGTCCAAATTGCTTTTTCCCCTTCTATGCTTGGTTGACTGCTACTCTTCTTTCAGGTATTAATCTAACAATCACTGCTACAAGGAAGCTTCTGGAATAGGCCTTCTCATCCTCAACCAGGACCAAGTTGGGGCCTCTCTTCTCATTGCCCTATCTTTTCCTTCATGGTCATTTATCATCACTTCTAATTATATGTGACCTTTTTATGTGATTATCTGGTTAATGTCTATCTCTTCTACTAGACTGAGCTCTCCGTAAAGAAGAACAATGTCTGCTTAGATCACATTTTATTCCCAGGATCTAGTGGAATGATTGACTCATAGGTTTTGAATGAATGAATAGTGAATAAGGGACAAAGATGAAGAAGATAAAGGGATGATTGCACTCCTGTTTAGTGTGCAGATGCATTCAATAGATTTTTGCTGAGTCTCTTCTATGTGCCAGTACTGTGCTAAGAACTGGGGAAGCAGCAGAGAAAAAGGTGGGTATGGTAAGAGATGAGATTTGAACAGACAGCTTTCCACCCCACATCTAAGCATAGTCCAATGGACCACTAGGGTTTCTCTCTTAGTCAGCCTGGCCTGGCTTCCTAGATTGAGGGAATGCGACTATTTTTGTCCTTAATCCCTTATCATGGTATCCCAATATGGTTATTAATGAGAAGATATTGAATCCGCAGAACTGAGGTTCAGACCAGGTACCTGTCAAAGTTACTATAGCCAATTAGTAGTTTCGTATGCAGAATTTTCTGGAAGTTTTCTAATTGATTTATAACTTTCTTCTCTCCATGTTGCCAGTAAGTCTAATATCCAATTCTAGCAATCTTGCCACCCTTTTCCCATTATCCACATTTTACTAATTCCTTGCCTTTATGTAACCACAGGACCAGGAACAGAATTTACCACCCCAAAATATGCCTCATTACCATGAGGGTTATTTTGAGCTGACAATTATTAGGAAACAGCAGACACAAGAAAAGCTCTGAAAACCTAGTAGAAGTTACCCTTTTGTAAGGAAAATTTACATTTATAAGAGAAATCTCCATTTGTAAGGGTGTCTCCCTCTCTGTGCCAGGAAGAGAAGATAACTCTACATCTCTAGAAACTCTTATCAATGGAGAAGGCTATGCCTTAAATCTATATAACAACTTTACCCTTGTTTACTGTGCCTTTTCTGGTCACCTCCCATAACTGACAGCATCTTAACAACAGAAAGTTATAGCTGTTTTCCAGGGACAGCAGGCTAGCCAAGAGCATGTGCAGAAGAGAAGATTTTGACCTGCCAAGTGAAACTCATCCTGTCAGTACTTCTGCATACCAGCCAGCCCTCTCTAATCCCTTAAACTTTACCCCAAACCTTGGACTCACAAGACAGATTTGAGAGTTTGGCCTCCTGTCTCCTTGCTGGTCGATCTTGCAATAAAGCCTTCTCTTTTTTCAAAAGGCTGTGTGCCACGGTGTCAGCTTCTGTGCATTTTGGGTAGTGAGCCCTTGCTTGGTAACATTTAGACAGTATAATTATGAGTTTTATTTATTTCATTTTATGCATATAGTATTCTTAATTTTTCCCTCTCAGACTATCATCTTTTTAAAACATGAACAATTCTGGGGCCAGCCTGGTGGCATAGTGGTTAAGTTTGCATGCTCCGCTTCAGTGGCATGGGGTTTGCTGGCTTGGATCCTGGGTGCATCAAACCATACTGGGGAGGCATCTTTTATAGAAGAACTAGAAGGACCTACAACTGGGAGACACAACTATGCACTGGGGCTTTGGGGACAAAAGAAAAAGAAGAGGAAGATTGACAACAAATGTTAGCTCAGGGCCAGTATTCTTCACCAAACAAACAAACAAACAAAAAAACCCCATGAACAATTCCATTGGGCTAAGCGCTACTAACTAATGGCAGCTAATGTAATTTCCATTTCTGTATGTTTGTTTGTTTTATTGCATTGGCTGTTATTACAGACAAAAGAGAGAAACTTCCTAGAATCTGGACCTGTATCTGCTCATCCAAGGGAGAGGGATGTCCAGCACAGAGCCATTGCAGAAGGGTGCCAATATCTGATAACAAAGTCTCATAAGTTACAGACTTTCACAATGACAGGAGACCTGGGGACAATCTAATCTAATCCTCATATTTCTAAGATGAGCTAACTGAGGCCTGTTGAGTTTAGACGTGTCTTCTGAGACTGAGACAAGATCCCACGTCTCCTGATTCCCATTTCACGTGCTCCTTGTGCTTTATTCCATGCCCTCATACTTCTTTTCCTAATGCTTATGAAGCAATAGATTTCTCCCTTTCTAGCAAGAGTAGAACTTTAACCAGAAAGAAAGAAGAAAGTGCTGTGAAAACCTCCCTCAGTGCATTTGTGCAATGAGGCTCTTTTCTCATCATTTAGAGAAAGGCGGTTGTATTGCAGGTTGCTCCTTCTTGACATTTAGGAATCATTTCTCTGTGAGAACCAGGCCCTCAGTGGAGCCGTTGATTGCCGGGATTGATGGATATCAATTTCCATTTCCATATCTCTGTTCTCTGACATCATCCATTTGGAGACATGCCTCCAAACACAAGAGGTTGGCTGAGGGAGGGAAAGATGTCTCCCAGCCCAGCTCTCTGACTAAACAGCCATTCTATTCTCCAAACCAAGATGACTTTGTCCCCCTGAGCCTTTTCTCAGATTGCTACCCTCAGCCTGGTCTGGAGGCACTGCGAGCTCATTGACTTTACTACTGGAGCATGCCCTGTAACAAGTTCAGAGTTCCACTGGTAGCCTACCGACTTTCTGGCCCAAAGCAATGAAAACCTTCCTGAATGGTGAGCAGGGAAAGCCCAGCACCTGCTCTGCCTCACTATTCTCCTCTCCAGTGCCCTGGGGATAACTGTTCTGCAAAACAGGAGCTGGTCTGTGCTGGCTGCCAAACGGAGAACGCTGATTAGAATAATGCCCAGCAGGTTTCTACTTTCTCTTCTCCTTTTCCTGGCCTTTCCCACCCTTAAAGAAACTAGGGGATGACTGTTGCTAAGGGCCAAAATAACAGGACCTGAGTGCTTTTAATTGTTATTTTAAAGACCAGCAACCATCATCCATGGGAAGGAAAGCTGAAGACACTGGGAAGGCTACCGTAACCGACTGAATTTAATGAATGAGAATGATTTTATTCAAAGGATGAACAAATTTATATTTGGGATGAAGCATTCTTGATTTTAACCAATATTGGCCAGATCAGGCAATGGGTGAGTGGGCTCAGTAATCCAGTCAAAGTGGAGGATTTGGGGGTGCAGGTGGGAACCATTTTAGATAGGATTTGAGGTTGGAGCTAGGCAGGGCTCCAATTCTTGTAGCATCTTTAATTTTGCTTATTCATATAGGCAAGAAAGCTACTTCTCCACACTTCCTTGTCCTTCTCTTTCTCTTCCATTCTTCTTGCATCCTCTCCTCTTTCTCCTGAAGCTTAAGTGGATCCTGAATTGAAGGATGGCGAGCAACTATGCAGTTCTCATTGTCCACCAACCTCGAGTCCTGCAAGGCAATGATGATAGTTACTGAGCAAAATACCTACTCAAAGATGGTGACACATGATCTACACAGATTTGAATATATGGCATTTGCCTAAGTGAAAATCTTAAAGACAGAGCTTTTATAAATACTTAAAAATATTGCCTGTCTCATCTTGGGCATTCTTCCTTGGGGAACCATTTTGACAAGAAAATGAGAACTGAATGGTAAAAGTTAGACACAAGTAAGTTAGAAGAATTACTAAGTGTGTAAGGAAGTCAAAGAAGAGGCAACATGGCACCTGTATTTTTGTAGATATTAAACAAACAAACAAAGCTAAAAAGATGACAAAATGAAAACAAAAAACATAAGATAGTATCTTTGTCATCTGGAGGGGCTGAGATGTAATCCTGGCCAGAGTTGGTAAAGATATGTTAGATGGAATATTATGTTGTTCTGTCTATAGTTTATGTTTCTTCAATTTTTTTTTTTTTTTTGAAAAGAGAAAATCTTCTCCTTATAGCACAATTTGATGGGAGCTGGTTGGAATAGAGTAGAATGGAGAAATGGAGGGTGATAAGATGTTTGGAGACATTGCAGGACCCGGGAGCTCTAAAAGCATTTTAAGTTTCCCTTATCTTTATGAGAGAAAGAGGGAGAAAGAGAGGATCTCATTCAGTCCTTTGAAGGATTGCTACTCAGTAAGGAAGAAGTCCTGGTCAGTGTGACTCAGTTCAAGTCAACACAAGCAATGACTTATGCCCTGGGCATTTAAAGGAGACTGGAACTCCTCATAGTCCTGATGGTGATCTTAGGGGTGTTGTGTTCACAGTGACTGTGTCTCTTAAGGCAGTTATAGGCTGAGACTGTGGATGGAGTAGTGTTGATGACACATATAAGCCACTAAACTTTATCCTGTGAAATGAGCCTGGACTGTTGCAGTACAGGAAGCTGTTGATTATTAAGTGACTTTTCCCACTTGGGATCTTTAGAAAAGATGAAAACATTGGAGTGTGTCTTCAATAGAGCCTCCAATTTGTGAAGCACTGATATTTGATTTAAGAGAAAAAAATGTATATATGTATACATATACACACATAATACCTATGTATGTATAGAACACATGCATATATATGGGTGTGTCTAAATATCTTTGGTGAAATTTATTAATAAATTATGTAATTATCTTTTGGCAAAAAACATCCATATGTATACCACAGTTACTTAGGGTGTAATTTTTCACTTTGCAAAACACTTTTTTTCCTTCACAGAATGATTACTTGTAAGGTTACAAATGAATGAACTAATAAGCGCCCATAGCTTCCCTTAAAATAGGATTTTCTGTAGTAGTATTAATAATAATAACTAGCATTTATGAACCTTTTCTCTTGCTCCAGGGACTGAGTTAAGAGCTTAATATGGAATATCTCATTTAAATCTTCCAGTCCCCCTGGGGGTAAGGTACTATCGTTATTCCCTGCTTTCCAGAAATTGAGGTTTAGAAAGTTTAGTCACTTGGCCAAAGTCACACTATTACTGTGACCAGAGGTGTAGCTGGGATTCGATCCTAGAAAGTTTCATCCTGGAGCCTGTGCCCACCTCTTTCCAATAGTATTTCTATATTTTGGGGTTCCTTGGCTCTTATGTAAAGTGACACCTCTTACACGAATAGCTTGGAACAAAGCAATGTAGACAATTAAGTTTTGAATAGAAATAAAAATATTAACTCATGCTTTGGATCCAAATGTCATCCAGTTTGGCCCATATTTTCCTTTTCACCATAGAGGATTTTTTTTTTTAAATTTGGGAAAATCTGATATCAAATTCACTAGATTCATGCTGTATAACCATGTGGCAAATGCTAATCCTGGGTGTGGAAAGACAGAGTATTAAAAGATGGAATGTGGGGCTGGCCTGGTGGTGCAGCCGTTGAGTTTGCACATTTTGCTTCGGCAGCCCCAGGTTCACTGGTTTGGATCCTGGGTGTGGACCTATGCACTGCTTGTCAAGCTATTCTGTGGCAGGCATCCCACATATAAAGTAGAGGAAGGTGGGCATGGATGTTAGCTCAGGGCCAATCTTCCTCAGCAAAAAGAGGAGGATTGGCGGCAGATGTTAGCTCAGGGCTACTCTTCCTCAAAAAAAAATTTCTTTTTAATTTTAAAAGAAAAGATAGAATGTGAAAAAAAAAAAAAGATAGAATGTGGAGAAACTGCCAATCTAGATTTTCTCTGATTAAGAAAGTACAGTTTCCTTGATACAGAATGGTCTATCAGGGACCAAAGCATTTGACCATTGGGCAAGAAACGCTGCTGATTTTGATGGAGTGAATCACCCCTCATGCACAGATCTTATGGATGTCAGGCCAATTCTGGCATTTCCTGATGTTGCCCAAAGGTTGAATTGAATTCAGTCCAGTCCGAAGATTGGCCAATCCAGCCTAGCACCCGAGTGCTTGGAAAATCCACTGAATTCCTCTCTTCTGTCACATCCTCTCCCTATATACACACACCTGTCATAGAAGCAGCCGTGAATGAGTGATAAACTTGGACAAATGACCATTGTTTATTCAGTTAATAAAATACAGAATTGTTTTCCTAGAAACACCAACAAGACAAAGGAAGATGGCAAAAGGAATCCTGGTCTGACCAGAGGGATGAATGGGTGTGAGAAAACGCGAGGGAGATTTCTTGTATAAACATAACTGAGGTTAAAGATCACTGTAGCCCCAGCCAGGCTAAAATATGGAGAAGATGAATGTGCCAGGCTGGGCGAGCAGGGGGCCTATCTATCACGGAGGTGAGGAGTGGGTAGGAGAAAGGGTCCACGACCTATGCTTATCTATCTGCTGAAGTTTTGATCTCAAGGCTGGGAAAGACATGGCCAGAAATAAATGTTTAGGGCATGACATTCTTTCCATGTTAGGACACCGCATTCTTGCTATTTGGTGACAAATGACTGAACAGTGAACTTGGTCCCATTTATGATCTAATTCCATAAAAATGAAACTCTGGGCATCTGCTGCAGAGCATTCCAGGAACGAGTTAAAGCTGAATATTGCTGCCTCACTCTTTTCTTCCTTTTTGGTGAATGATAGCCTGGGATGCTGAACTGGCTGCCTTCCGGAGGTGGTTTCTCTCTTTCTCTGAATTTTGTTTTCTGCCTTCAGTGGCAGAGAACTCTCTCCCTCTGTTCCTCTTCCCCTTGGCTTGAAAGCACTCATAGTGAACATATACCTTCTATCTGAAGACTACGCTAGAGGGTAAAAGAAATGGAAATTCATTCCCACTTTTAAAAAACTGAGAGTGAGTGTGTGGGTGTGCCTGGGTGTGCGTGTTTCATGTAGGAAGTGTCCGAGAGGAATCCAGCTAGGAGAACTTGTTGCAATAATTCTCTAAGCTCCTGAACAAAGCTTCCAATAATACATGGTGACATTTACACAAATATTTGTGGTTGTGCCTTCCATTTCTTCTTATAGGAAACAAGTGCGATTTTTAAATGCTTTAGTGATGTGATCAGTAGGCAGTAGTGGGAAAGAATTTTCCTGAAACTTGACTTGCAATCAAAATAAGGAAGGAAGATCTGAAAGAACTGAGAATATTTCAGCTATCAGGATATGGCACTTTCCGACATCTGGATGTCCAAACAAGTGTTTTGAATTCAATTCTATTAACATGTGTCACTTTAATGAATATTTTCCTTTGGAGTCGATTGGGTGGTTACATTTTTGGCAATAATTTTGCGGTCGGTTGCTTACATTACCTGACCCATAGTCCATTTTCCTTGCTTTGGCTGTGGGAAAGAAAAAAAGTAGGAAATGTCTCAGAACCTGGACAACAGTATTGAGAATGCCACTCATCTTTTAATTGAACCACTTCAGATAGAAGCTCTCTAAGGACTATCTTCTCACTGTCTGTGACATCATGTGTAACAGAAAGAGTAAGTTCTCTCCTTATCGAAAAGATAGGGAAAAAGTCCCACAAAATGAGATGGGATTTTTTTTAAAGCTTGAAATAGAAGGTCAGGTCTCTGCATTCATCCTTTTGATTTTAACAAAACTAACCTGAGAGAAGCAACTCCCTTGGATCAAAAAGTGTTTTCAAGAGGTCAGTAATGAGACATCCTAAGTGATCACTCAAAAAAGCTCCACACAGGAACGTCACCTCATGCTCTGAAAAGTCTTTTCAGACTTCTGTTCCTCGCAGAACCTTTAAACATATTGTGTTTTCTGAAAGGAAAACTCCTTGGCTCACTAGGAGGAATTTTATGAGGAGCAGGAGGGGAGGGGAGGGCAGCCCTGGGTGGAGCGTCTGTGTGTGTGTGAGCATACGTGTGTGCATGTGTATGTGAGTACGTGTGTGTATATACGAGTGGATATGCATGTGTATATAGGAATGTGTTTCCCATTAGACACTAGGCTCTTTGAGGTAGTTTATCAGAAATGCTTACAGGTGTAGGCTTTGGAATCATAGACCAAGGGTTAAATCCGGATGCCATCATTCTCTAGCTGTACAACCTCCAAGAGGTTGCTTCATCTTTCTGGGCCTTAGTCTCTTCATCTGTGAATGGAGATAATAGCAATGCCTGTCTCTTATGCTGTGAGATAGTACATGGGAAGTTATTTGCACAGTGCCTGATATAAAGAGCTCTCAATAGAAACCTCAGATATCATTGATTGGCTATCTCTTCCTTTCACAGTTCCTGGAAGAGTGTTTTTGGTTTTTCAATACAGTGGGTGTTCCATCTGTGTTGTGGACTCTCTGACTCATAACAGCATGTGGATTCTTGTTTCAAAGAAGCCATCCACTCACTCTGGGGAGAGGCATGGTCACTCTCCCTGTTATGTCTGCACCACTTCCCATCTGAAGGCCCCAGGTGCACAAGGTGCACAGCTCCACCACGCTAGCACTGGAGTCAGACGTGTGGAGAAGGGGATTCTTTCTCCTGGCGCACCACCCAGCCCAGGGCACAGAGAGTCCACAGATGGGAAGGAAGGAAGCCAAGTCTAAGGAATGCAACGGACT